CCTAGAAAAAGCCTGGGCTTTTGAAAAGACTCTCCAGAGCTTCATTAAGATACTGTAATTCTCTGAATGTTTAAGCAAAACAATGGTAAACACAAAATGGCAAGGGAAAAATTCGATTACACAAAGGTAAAAGCTCTAATACAGGAGCTGAACTGGATCGACTGACGTCTGCTTATGAGCAGGGGTTATCGTGGGAGGGACATGTGGATAAGATCGACTCTGCGGCGAATATTGAATGCGAAACGCTTGCAAATGGGAGTCGTTAAGACAGAGCAACAGACAAGCAGATCACTATCGGCAACTGATGCCACGAGGAACGGCCATCGAACGGATCAAGTCCAGATAGTTACCCAAGAACGCTGAGCCAGCCCCAGCTCGAGAGGTCTGTTGAAGTGGGAAAAGCTAGCGAAGCATGTGAGCAGATTCATGCTTGTATCGTGCGCTCTCGAACATTGGCAAATAAATCGACGGCCTTTGAAAGAGCAAGGACAAGCAGACAAGAACACTCGATAGAAAGCGGCCTCCAGGCTGTAAGAGGTGAGAACTGAGCGCTGAAAGGAAGGTGGTGCTCATTTGAAGGCAACCAAATGAAAGCATAGAACAACTTGAGTCTTTTCTCCCTCCGATCGAGTATACCAGCAATTCTCCCACATCGTAATGGGCAAAACTTGAAGGGTTCATCGAGGAAACGAATTTCAGTGAGAATCTTTATTTGGTTAGTGGGCAGACCACCCTCCAACAATGGGCCTGCGTGGATAGCTGTCCAAGCACAATGTGCGTGTTGGATTGGTATTTCGGATCAATGAAGATTAATGGATTGATGGGAAGGAAAAATTGAGAAAAGCAGAAGTCCGCTAATTACATTTGAGCAGTAAATTTGTGTGTGAGACAGCCGACGGTTATCAAGCAACAGCTGCACGCAACGCTGCTGGTAGCATGTGTACTGGTCTTGTTACTGCGCAAAACTTGATCCAATTAATTAAATCACGCATCTAAACAACCTAAATCACGCGTGGATAATATCACCTGCGTGGAATTGCCTGTTGGGAGCCTGACCGGTCTGGAATGGGCTCGAAAGAAAGCTTTATGTGTCGACTTACAACTCTTTCGGTCACAGAAACATTCGGATGGTACGCTTGCGAGTATCGTCGATATGCAGAGTGGATTAAGGCAACTTTATTTTTATTTAGGCAACTTTGTTTTTATTCTGTTTCAATCTGTCAGCGGAAGTGGTGTGGTGGCAAGTAGTGCGTTTTCACTCGAGTATGGTCCATGGATCGAATCCTGGCTCGATAGCCACTCACACCAATCAAGCTTCCATCCATTCGAGGTCGGTTAATTGCTAAAAGACTCATCTGGGGGGATAAGGGCACTGAATTGAATTGTATCACGTCGGTTGACCACCGCAGATAATTGTATGGGCCGAATGAGCATTCCATCCGTCACTACGATTCTGAATAGGAGTCGAATGCGTGGCAGCTTCAAAAACGAATTAATTAACATCAAGGATTTGATTGTTTATCCTTTACATATGATTCGAAGGGCTCGACTGGCTCAGAGCAGGGTCTGTTCTCAGATCTATGGAATTTTTTCTCGCGCGGATTTTTATTTCAATAAAAAAGAATAGAAAAAAGCTACGACTCCCGTGCCGAGTACACTCTCATTGTTTCAGCTTTTGTTCATGATCGGATCCAAAAGTATTTTTATGTTCATCGAACAAATTTCTCTGTTCTGGATTCTCCTAATATTTTGAGGTACTAATGAAGTGGCGCTTCTTCCTTTGACGGAGAAAACGAGATGTACAATCTTGGTTGTTAAGGCTTTACAAAAATGTTCGGAGCATTCGACAAAATTTGCTGGAATTCCAAAATTGTCATTTGCAAGCGTCAATGTGCTGGAGCTGATCCAACCACTCTCAGCAGGATGATAAATAACAAGTGCACGAGAGTTGTTCCGGATCTCCTTATAGGCACAGTTCACGATAAAATGGTTTCTGAGATTCCTTCACAGGATGGATTTGAGGCCCCCGCGTATACCATATCTGGACCCAATTAGGTCGGAAATCGGCCTAGTTAGAGAGTAATAAATGCTCAAAAATTGGTCCGTGTGTATCCTCGTACGAGTTTCACCGGCATTGTAGAGGCTGCACCGAACACAATAAAACCCATGTAACAAGTTCAAACAACTTGTCGTGACCAGTAGCGAAAGTGAAAGGCAGTTCTGTACAGTTCTGGCGCGATGTAGTCAGCTCTTTGTGCAGTTGCAATAACTAAAATCTCGTCCGAATACCCCTTCCATGTAATTTCCGTCATGGCAATCTCGTCCAACCTCTATTTTCCCTATTTTTGAGGAGCCATATTTTCCTTGAAATCAGAGAATTCCCTCGCTTTCTTCACTACCGATGAACTATTTCCCACCTGTANTTCCGCTTTTTGAATAAAAAAGGGTACCTCAAAATTATCGTAAACCGTGCCTTTAAAGGGAGAGATATATTTTTTGTATAATCTTGAACCACAATTTCCTGCTCGAACCGCCTCGAGTGAGGAGTGGGCGTGAACTTGCTTTGCGTAGATGAAAAGTACTTCACGAAGGTCAGAGGAACAAAAGAAAGCCCAAGTGATGAAGCTACGCAGTTACGATTTCCGTCGATTTTCCGTCATTTGTCGGATACAATGGAGAAGCTGGAAAAGGATGACTTAATGAGGGAGCTCGACACATGCTTGCTTCACACGCATCTTTTTTTTTTATGAAAATTCCCCAATTTGCCTAGACTGTGAGCACGGTCGGTCTGAAAAAGAACGGAGGTTACCACATCCTTCAAATATACGATCAAGACGAATAAGAAGGTGTTACCGGCACCGAATCAAGGAACTTCATGTGAAATTGAATGTATTGAATTCCTATGGAATTTCTAGAAACTAAGATTAACTTGACTAAATAAATTATAGTGCAAATGGTAATGATTTTCGTCTTGATCCCGTCCTAGAGATAAGCCACGCAATCGGCTCCCGTTCAGAATCGCAGCAGCGTTTTGAATGCGTATTTGGGCGATTCAGTGACTTATGGTGGCCAGCCAATGACATGTCAGTGCTTTTATCCTCTCAGACGTGTCTGGTACCAATTAACGGACCCCGGAAGGATGGAAGGCTTGGTTGACTTGGGCGGATATCAGTCTGGGATTCAAACTCCAAACCATACCATTGTGATAGTGCCCACTTCACGCTGCACCACCTCCCGCCCCAGAGCAGCTAGAACATAGAGAAAGTTTGCTGACTTTTGGTGAATATTAATGTTGAAACAGATGTAGAGGTGGTAGAAAGAAACTGGTAAAAGGGCATTTTCATTTGTCAAGCAGTCAAGCCTTGTTTCCAGACACGCAACATCTTTTGTGGTAAACGAGAGAGACCATTCATCTCGTACGACAAATCTACCATCATTAAGAATTTCGAAGGCACTTTGCAGAATCCGAAAGTGGGAACGATTGGCCATCAAATACTAGGTAAACCATCGCTAAACTCTTCATATCTAAGGGTCAAGGGGATTTTCTATGGGACAGTACAGGATACGATAACTGGTTTTTTACTAGCTTCACGAAAGGAATCGATTTATCGTAATGTTTCGTTGGCACAACTTCTTATACCTGTTTGGTTGATCTTCAGTCTACCTAAAAGTGAGGTTTCACTATCACAAGGTTATCAAAAGGATACTTTTGAGTTGATACCGTATATCTCTTTACTACTGGGAAAACCGTTCTGAAGGGCTTTAAGTACAGGTTAATTTTGCTCAGTAACTTCTACGACCGTACCGGCTCGTCTTCCTGATCTTTATCGGCTGCTCAATAACGGGTGAACCTCTATCAGCAGTGGTTTACACCACGAACTGCCTGACCGAATTTCTGCTTTAGTTATCTACACTACTTTGAAATCCTCAGTATTCGTCCATACTTTTGTTCAATTCCTCTTCGTCCTCCCGTAGCTATTCATATGCTGCTATGACTTCATATATCGAAAATAGGTAGTTTGTGAGAAACTTTTAGAAAGTGATTGACCTTCAGTGAAGGTCACATACTGGTTGTCGATTGAACTAGACATCATTTGTCATTCTTGTTGCATTCGTTTCCTTTGGACCACTTATTTCAGATTGTCTGGAAGCACTTACTCGTCCCTTTCCCAAAATAGACAAGTAGCTTTCAGTTAGTAAATTTTGGCAGTTTACCAACCACCTACAGTCAACTATCAGCGCTCCCATCTCATAAATGTCTCTACTTGGGCACTTTTCTGTCCCAAAAACTACCCATTTTTCTGGATTATAGTTTGATTTCAGTTATTGTACAATGCGATATTGAAAAGAAACGATTTCTCATCAAATGCATGGCCTAATCCAACCACAAATGGGACTGTCACTGGCTGCTGTCATTTCTTAGACCGATTGCCGACTTTGTCTAGGTTCGTTACATTTTTACACTATGTTCTGGGTGCTTTTCTCGTTCGTGTTCGTCTAGTTTTGAAGTTGGATGATGGCCTTGCCGGCGCAACACAAAAAGATTGTCTGACATTAGACGGCTTCCATTTCAATTCGTCATTAGCCTTCGTAGGTATCGGCAACGTCGTTTCTCAACCATGCAATTTCTGAATTTCTCCTAATTATGGTTTCAATGTCCTTATCTGACCCTCTAGAATCTTCCATCTTGTATCTGACCTCGAGTTTTTAGCTGGCCAAATATTACTTGGTTATTTACTATTCGGTACGAAAGTGTTTAATCTGCTTTGTTTTGAAGTTCTATGTCAAAAGCCCTGAAAAATGGTGGAAGATTTTGGTTTTGATTTTCTAGATTTCGATTAGAACTTTTAAAAAATCTTTTTTAATTTACTTGTTTGTGACTACTCTCGTACTATTTAATTTAAGAGTCATCATCTGGTATGACGATTGTGGAGTTTCAACGTACTCGTGAACCCAGGCTGTTAAAGACGATTTCAATCCGATCTGTCTTCATGACGTGCATGGTCTGTCCGATAGTAGCCATACTGCTATCGTTCGGACTCGGCTCGACGTTACACCCATCAGAACTTTTCAATTACCGATGGACTTGTGGTGTAAGTTTTTTTTTATAATCCCCTCTCGAGTTTATGGGACCAGAAGTTGAAACAGAACTGGGGAAGAGAACGGATTTGTGTAAGTGTGTGTAGCCTTCGAACCTGATAGAATCTTGATCGGTTGAGCAAAGTCAACGGTTGGTAGTTTCTCATGCTGACGAAGTTGATATTGCCTTCAGAGGCTCAAAATACGCCGAAGAGTTTGGGCGTAATATTAGCATATTATTGGGGTCATTTTACTGATAATCGATGGTTATATTTTTGTTTCATTATACTGTCGAGTCTATCACGGACGTATGTGAGTTCCGATGCAAATTACCTTTTTTTGGTAAGAGCCTTCTTTTTGAATCCCATCGAGAATTGAGGCGGTATATGAGTATGAGTATTCTAGTCCGTTCACCGGCTTACGGACCTCGACCAATTTCCAACTCTTTCCGATGAACTTCCATTGGAACCTAAGGCACTGGGGGTAGAAAAAAAGGCTAATTTGGCTCAGCGGAGATTCAAACTTGGTCCCTGTACACATATGTCACCTCCCCGTCTTTTTGCCCTTCAAAAAGTCAAACACTATGTTTTGGAACCGAGCTGGACATCTATAAAGCACCACACACTTTATTCAGCAAGTGACTTACATATTTTCAGATCGTCCATTTACCCTCAGTCTCTCGGATTATGAACATGTCAATGGGGCGCATAATTTTTCAAACGCTCATTTTGTCGTCGATTCCACTTCGGCTGCTCGTGCTGTTGAAGCATTGTACGCCCTACTAGCCTGAACTTTCAACGATATAGGCCACTCTTTGAAATCTTCTTCAGGGCTACAGTTTATTGCTCTGGAAGTGTCACGGAAACTTAAGGCAGCAAAAGTGGTCATGGTGATCAGTGGGGTGGCTGAGGTGCTTCTTCTCGGTCTGCTTACAGTTATCGGAGAACGTGAAAATGGAGGTGAACTCAGCTTTGTAGAATAGCGAGTAAAAAGTTTGAAAGTAAAGTAAAAAGAAAATCGACTTCCTTATTGATTTCTTAAGAATTCATCTTCCTTTTAATAGTTCCAACTACTTTGTAAACTACGATTCTGATTACTTCTCATCAAGATTGGTAGCTCATGAATTTTCTATTCAAGGCCATTGTGAATAACCATTGTACGAAAATTCGTGAAACCAGGTTGAAACCAATTTCATTTAGACGTTCATGTGGTATTATTCACCTGCTTTGCTACCGCTTCCTATGTATACTTCATGTGTCTTTGCTTATTGACAGAGTGGACCTTCAGTGGCTCAGAGTCGGTAAGTTCCTCAAAAGTGCACCCTTTAGGTCTTGCTCTTGAGTATTTCATCTAGAAGTTGAGAATTACCGAATTCATGACAGTTTAACTTAAAGTTTTCCTTTTCGACTGATCTTTAACCCATTGACAACCGTGTGGCTCGTCGGCGGGTCGCGCAATATCGTGCTCCTGTAGTATTTATATTGTTTATCAAGTGTTCTTATAATTTTTTTTCATGTTTTCAAGTATCACCTGAGCTCACAACCTTCTAGAGAATCTTGAGGCATCGTGGTCCAGGAATCATTCACTTCCAACTACAGTTATAAGAGAAATTAAAAGTTAATGTAAGGACCATGTAAAAAGCGCGGTCGCCAGTGGATTACCAGAAATCGTTTCGGGGATTTTTTTACGAGCTTTGCATTTGGAAATGCTAATGACGACCGTCTTTCAGAAATATCTAATTTTTTGAGGTTTTTCAACGATCGAATAATTCATCAAGGTAATGTACTCCTTCGAAAAAAACACCCTTACAATTGCAAAATTGGAAGATTTTCTAGAATCACGCTGTATGTAGTTTCGTTTAGGCCTGATGTAATGTTTTGAGAAGAAAAATTGAAAGAAAGTGGAAATTTAGATGAATAAAATAAAAAATACAACTGCAGTCCACATGTGGACTGTATGGTCGTCAATGGGTTAACTAAATGTTCAATTTTTATTTCATTAGTTCGATAAAAGGCATTGCCTCCTCTTTCTATTGGAAACATCGGTTATTATACTGGCGTATTTTGAAAACTGTATTGTTCAGGACCTTCTAAGAGCAAGATTGCAGATGGCTTTCCTTGCAATCATGACTTTTACAATGCCAATCATTATCCTCCTCTTCATTCTCTACAACGGATTCTGTGTGCCATTCAGTGAGTTGTTAAACTTTGTTGTCGGTTTAATGTGAGGTTTGGGTCGGGGATTTTCTCAATCTGGGGTTGCCCAGGGTGGGTCCGGCAGGCTTTTAACGAATTTGTCCGATTTAATGGACTAGGCTTCAAGGCATTGACCCACTCTTATATGTCGAGCGGTACAATTTTCTCAGAATGGTGAAGCAAACTTCAAAGGAGGCAGCACATAAGAAAGCAGTAGAAACTCTCAGTCCTACCAGTGTGGGGGCAGACAGCTTGAACCCTCTAGGAATCTCGAGATAGGGAACATCAAAAGGCATGGTGAGACCGTTGCATACCCTTCGTTCCGACTAAGCTAATGCCCTTTCTGAACATATAAACATTTTGCGGAATTCGGCCCTTTTCGTTGTTGTCGAGATCACATAGAGGAGTAGGTAGATCCACTTAAAGGCGCAGTTCACGATTTGTTTTGAGGTACTTGTTTTCATTCGAAATGCGGAAGTACAGGTTGGAAGTAGTTCATCGATAGTGAAGTTAGCGAGAGAATTCGCGGATTTCGAAAGATATATATGGCTCCTCAAAAGTAAGGGAAATAGAGGTTGGACGAGATTGCCATGACGGAAATAACATGGAAGGGGTATTCGGACGAGATTTTGGTTGTTGCAATTGCGCAAAGAGCTGACTACATCAAACCAGAACTGTACAGAACTGTCTTTCACTGCCGGTATGGGTCATGACAGGTTGTTTGA